ACACACACACACACACACACACACACACACACTCACGCGTCGCTGGTTTCTTTCTCAGAGGGAAACTCATCCTAAAAATAGCACAACCTTAAAGAAAGTCAGAGGTGCAACGAATCCTTTCCATTTTCATTCTGCAGTCGCAGGTTTAAAATCCATCGGTTTCATTCTGTCTCTTTCTACCGGAGGCCAGACGGGTTTCATTTGAATATAAACTCTCTCTGTTATGTTTGGTGGCAAAGAGAAATGCGCTGGATTTATTGCTTACAGAATCTGTTTACAGACAAGCTCCATGTGCTGTTAATCACAGAGAGAACAGAGCGCTCTTCCCATAATGCAGCTCTGTTGTGTCCTTCTGATGGACTACAGAGGATGATGAGGTCGGATGAAGGTTTTCTTCATACGATTCATCATACGTGCCATTTATATCCATCAGAATAAAGGAAGTTTTATGAGCAAAGTTTTCTGGGTGAATGCAATAGTTTTGGGAGAGAAAGCAGACTTTCTTGGGAGAATGCAATAGTTTTGGGAGAGAAAGCAAACTTTCTTGGGAGAATGCAATAGTTTTGGGAGAGAAAGCAGACTTTCTTGGGAGAATGCAATAGTTTTGGGAGAGAAAGCAAAGTTTCTTGGGAGAATGCAATAGTTTTGGGAGAGAAAGCAAAGTTTCTTGGTGGAACACAATAGTTGAGTGAGAACTATGGAATAGAGATCTCATATTTCCCTCACCATGTCCCTTTAGGGACGCCATGGAAGAAAGATGCGAGTATGATTTCTTATTTCCAACACATTTCTTCTCTTCTAGTGTCTTGTCTGTATTAAGAGTTTCACTGTGTGTTTGTTTTAGCTTCCCGCTGATCTTCAGGAGCGAGTGAGCTCCCACATGGAGCGGCAGGGTCACGGCCGGAGCGCAGCACTGCATCACTCCTTCTCAGACGCTGTTCCCACCGCCGTCATCGGCCGGGTCCTGGAGAAACCGGAGCCTGGGAGAAGCTGTCCGGTCACACGCTCGCCGAGCCCGCAAGCCCCAGAATTCCCATCCGGCACGGACAACAAAGTCCAGCGACACACGGCGTATAAGTCGTCTGACCTGTACTGCAGCGACACGGCGCTGTACTGTCCCGCCGATGAGCGGCGGCGCGACCGCTGGACGGAGAGACGGCAGAGTGCGGACCAGAGCGGACGGATCCGAGGACACACGTCCACCGACAGCAACCTGGACGACAAGAGCTTCCCTCTGCATGAAGACCCTTTCCGTGGGTTCATCTTCGGATCTCTTCCCGCCTCCAGCTGCAGCACGGCCTCGGATGAGAAGCTTCACGGTTCGTCTTTGTGCACAGACTGGCGCGATGGAGACTATGAGCGCAAGAACTTATCCTCATATGGAAAGGAACGTCCAGGTTTCCCCAAGTCAAGCAGCTCCCAGCATGTGGGCTCACAGAACGGCCGATCCGGAGACAGACGCGTCCTCGTCCCTGCGGACCCGACGGATGGCTGGCGGCAGATGAGCATCGAGGACATCAGCAGCTTCTCGCCCTTCAGTTTCCCAGAGCGCCACTTCACGGCCGGTCCAGCCAAGATCAAACCAGGTCCTCTTTACAGCAGCTTCCAGGAGGAAGACAACGTCTTCCGCAGGCGCGTGCCAGATCCACGATTCCCTGCGTCGGCGGGATCGAGTCCTGCGCTGAACCCAAAGACGAGTCTGAATGCACTGAAGGCCGAGAGAGGACTGATGTTTGGCTCAAAGGGTTCGACAAGCAGCTTTTTCATGACTGGAAACGCCAAAGACAAGGAGAACGTGACTAAAGACGCTTTACAGAGAGATCACGCTGATGAAAGTCCCGGCAGTTCAGCGGAGTCACTGAACCATGATCTGGACGTCCAGAAATACAAAGATCTTAAAAACCCCGGAGCTCAGAAGATGACGCAACAGCATCAAAAGTTTGGAAACGCTGGACTCAGTCGCAAAAACAGTCTGACTAAAGCTCAGCTTTATGGAACGCTGCTTAACTAACAGTCAGTAAAACGTACTGCAGCAAAATAAAGAACAATATGTGAACATGTTTGCAAACCATTTGACTGTTGTCATGTTGAGTTTTACTGGATAGTGGAAAGAGTCTTGGTTGATTTTACATCTGAAGTGTGTGTTTCCAAAGACTTGTACTGTCTCTTCCGCCCCTCATCTGTCATTGGTCGTTCAGACAGATTGTCCCGCCCCAAACTCATCTGATTGGTTGAGTCAGAAGTTGACATTTTGGGCCACTCAAACAAACAGGTCTATGCTGTTTACATACATACAGAGAATTTACACAGTGGATTACTGTCACAATAACAGCAGCATCAAAGGAAAAAAACTGCAATTAACCAAATAAATTATCCAGGGAAAACCTTAAAATTAATTAACAAGTCGCCTTATTACTTCCTGCAACTTTAGAGTCTCAATATATTGCATCAGTTCAGTTTTAAATGGTATATTGGTTTATTTTTTACCCATTTTTGTTTGTGTATATGTATGTGTATATAAATTAATCACCAAACATTGTTCCAAACTCTTATTCTTATACAAAATGTATATCTTTACCAATTAGTCAAATGTTTATTTTAGTGATTAAGTATTATCCGTTCGGTGGCACAGAAATGACATACTTCAGCTTTAATGAAGAAGACAGTAATTAATTAAGCTTGTGATTCTTCAGATTTCTCAGTCTAATTCATCAGGTCAAATCTGAACCATTCTCTCTTTAGAAAAAATCAGAAACTAACAGTCATAAAAGTCACAATACAGTTTGTTCTGTTATTAAAGCAGCTCCTATGTTTTAAAAATGATTCACCTAACACTGTTTTCATCTACAAGATACACCAGGAATGTACATACAGTCTGTAAATGAGTGTGGATCTATCGGGAAATGATTTAAACTTCAACTCATGTTCACATCGTCGTGATGAAGCAATAAACTGTGATTTAGATACTGTGATAAAGCCAACATGCTGCACGATGGGAACATGAACACGTGTGGCGAGGTGTAAACCTTTAATGCATTCCTGTAAATGTAATTCAGACAGATGTTGATGGTTAAAGTGATTGTGTGTGTTTTGATGTTTCTACCTCACCATCCGATCCGACCGCATTAAAGGAGAAACGAATACTAGACGCATGTTTCTATATTTGTGCTGTATTTTTCATTACTAAATAAATCCTTTCCATACTAAATTGGAATATGAACATCATTTTATCTGTTTTATTAAGGACACAAATAAAACACAAGTATAAAAGTAAACAAACATGAACCCATGCAACATTCAGTGGAATTTACTGTTTAACATCATATAAAGATTAGACTTGATTACCCCAATGAAATCCTTTAAAACGGCAATATTTCATCCCAGTGCCACTTAAGCATCAAATCATGCAATCTCTGCTAACGAGCTTTCATTCTGAAGGCAAGGCTTCAAACGTTTCCCTGCTCTTTGATTCTGCTGGAACAAGGCCAGTTGAACTAAATGTTGTAATAACCTTCACACTGTAAACAACTGCTGTCCTTCCTCAGGATTTCTGTCTTGTTTTTCAGTGCAAATGTCTAAAGATTCATAAATAATGATACATTTACTGGAGATGCACAATGAAAAAAAGAAGTCTTGTTGTCTGAGAAACTGATCAAAACAAAGTCAGTGTATGGATAAAACAAACAAATGCCAATAAATCATAAACTCACTTCATTTTGGTACATTTTTCAAACAAGACTTATTATTTTATGTAATTTTGCTTCTTTTGTAAATATACTGTTCACTGCTGCTCAAAAGTTTGGGATCAGTAAGATTTTTTATGTGTTTTAAAGAAGTCTCTTCTGCTCATCAGGGCTGCATTTATTTGATCAGAAATACAGAAAAACCAGTAATATTGTGAAATATTATTCCCATTAAAAAATTTTTTATTTTATTTTAATATACTTTAAAAAGTAATGTATTTCTGTGATGCGCAGCTGTATTTTCAGCATCATTACTCCAGTCTTCAGTGTCACATGATCCTTCAGAAATCATTCTAATATGCTGATTTATTATCAGTGTTATAAACAGTTTTGCTGCTTCATATTTGTTTTATAACCTGTGATACTTTTTTCAGGATTCTTTGATGAATAAAAAGTTAAAAAGAACAGCATTTATTTAAAATAGAAATCTTTTCTGACAATATACACTACCGTTCAAAAGTTTGGGGTCAGTAATTTGTTTTCTTTCTTCTTATTTGTTTTTTTATAAAAAGTGATGATAAAGATTTTATTCCTCAAAAAATCCTGAAAAAAGTATCACAGGTTATAAAAAAAATATGAAGCAGCAAAACAGTTTCCAGCACTGATAATAAATCAGCATATTAGAATGATTTCTGAAGATCATGTGACACTGAAGACTGGAGTAATGATGCTGAAAATACAGCTGCGCATCACAGAAATATATTACAGTTTAAAGTATATTAAAACAGAAAACCGTTATTTTAAATGGCAATAATATTTCACAATATTACTGTTTTTGCTGTATTTCTGATCAAATAAATGCAGCCCTGATGAGCAGAAGAGACTTCTTTAAAACACATTACAAATCTTTCTGATCCAAACTTTTGAACAGCAGTGTTATCTTGATTTAAGAATCTTTAGAAGACAAAAAACCTGTGAATGCAACATGAAGGCTTTGATTTAAGATATCTGAAGGTCTTATTTTGTGGAAGGCTGACTTCATAAGAGCATTTGAAGCTCGAGCGCCGCGTGTCTTACGTGGAAGGTCTGGTTGGAGAGTTTGGCGTCAATCAACCAACCAACCAACCAACCAATCAACCAATCAACCAACCAATCAACCAACCAACCAACCAAATCAAATGTTCAATCTCAGATAAATCTCCATTAAACTGATATTAAAATCACATCTGCATCACAGGAAAGAAACACATGCTCAATAAAGAGCACACATTAATAATAATCAGAATAAACTATTCTTCTGCTGATTAAAATTGTTCATTAGCATAACCATATGGTTTGATGTTTTACAGTTTTGACTCTTTTGAACAGGATTTCTGCAGGTTTGATTAAGAATCTTTTTAAGACCAAGTAAAGAAAACTTGAGGAATAAATGAAAGGGAACACAATACATCAATGCAAATCCCTAAAGATTCATAAATCAAGATACATTTACTTGAAAAGAAAGTGAGATATTAAGTCGTGTTCAACTTCAAGTGAATCAACTTCGTTCAAAGGGAAATCAAGTTTTCATACTTCACTGACAGATATTGGTTTTGTTTTAAGCATGAACGCACTCACTCACTTCTGTTCAGTTCCTCAGAAAACAAGACTTCATATCTTCACTGTGAACCTCCAGTGAATGCATCTTGTTTATATAAATGTCATTTTATACATTTGTAACTATTAATCTGCGACTTCTAATTCAAAACACGGGTGATTATTGATTATTGTCTGTGTGCAAATCAAAAGATTCAGCGTTTCACATCAGAGCCGTGAGTGTAAATTTCAACGTATAAATACGAATATTAATATGACGAGTTCTCACATTCCTCACAACACTTTTACCTTCATAGAACTTCTTTATTAGCTAATTAATTAAAGTGTCCACACTAGTGGCGTGGTTCATATGACGATGAACCAATTCATGCATATTAATGAGAGGATTTGCATATGATCATGTGATTGCACTCCTAATGCACATGATTTCAATCTCATCGTTGCTTTCTCTCTGAACGTGAGAATGAGTCTCGTCAATTACAGGCTGATGTTTGGGGAGCGATGAGAATCATCCTCCTGCATAATTAACACGCTTCCTCTGTGCTTTTAATTAAGAAATGTGATTAGCACAGCGCTGGCGGTCTCTCATGAGCAGATAAAGGAAACACATCTCAGTGTATTTCTATGAGTCTGGATTCATCATGAAATTTGGTGACTTTTTCTCAGAGTTTGGTGACTGTGATGGTGTTCGGGGTCAGACTGAACCCCATTGGTTCCCATGCAATTCACCAAAAAACAACTATATATATATATATATATTTTTTTTAAATAACTCAGTCCTGGCAGGGATTCCCAAACTTGTTTGTCATCTGAACCTCTGTCAGCTAATATATTTACTTGAGATTTAAAAATAAATATTGTAATAATTCAGTATCACATTTGCATGTTCACGGTTCTCTGACATTAATGACATGCAGGTCAACAAATAAAATAGTGATTTTTTAAATTTAGATTGATGTTATTTTAAAAGGATTTTTTTTTAATTTGACATTTTTTATGATTTAATTAATTATTTGCTGCAGTTCCTTTAAGAACCTCCGTTTGGGAAACCTTTATAAAGTAATGTTTAATGCACTTCATGTCGTAAATTACAACGAATGGAACATATTTTCTTACTCTTTGCATTTTTATATCAATATGGTACAAAATGATCCTATTTAAATCAATGTAATAAATGAGTTAGGTCAGAAGTAATCAAAAAGTAATCCGATTATATTGTGTAATGTAACGGATTACGTTACTAACTAACGTTACATTTTTTGTCCTGTAACCTGGAATCAGTAACTGACTACAATTTGTAAGTAATCTAGCTCTGAGTATCAATATCAATGTAAACAATAATAATAATAATAAAACATATTTTTAGATAAAGAACGAAAAAATAATCCTATTAAAAAAAAGAGTCAAATATTAAACTGCCTTTCACACATTTATGGCTCTTTATATCAAATATAACACATTATAATATATAACTTATATTATAATACTAAAAACAAACTTCTATTTCCACAGAAAATAAAACCAGAAAATGTATTTGGAGTTCATTATAAATAAATCATCAGAAGATATTAAATGATCCAAAACTCACATTAAACGACGAATAGCTGACATTAACATCATCTGCCCTGTCAGAGTTATCAGTAAATATCAATCCGTCAGATCATAATATATGTCTTTAAATATTAGTTTTAAATCGTTTTATAACTATATATTCTTGTTTACATGATTAACGGCGAACACCGGAAGCGCGAATCCGTCAGGAACTTAAGATACACACACAATAAAAGTCTTATTTTAAATCCATGTCAGTGAGGACGTTACAGACAAAATAAGCGTCTATAAAAGCGTGTATAAAGCGCTATAGAAATAAAGGTAAAAAACAAACAAACCATCTTTCATGGTGTGAGACACGCGACCGGAACTGCTGTACAGGGAGCACTGTTGCCAGGTCCTCGGGTTTCCCGCGGAATCGGGATACTTTAACACTGTTGCCGCGGGTTGAAGCGACCCCAATAACGTGATATTCAGCCCCTGGAATGTGATTTTTACTGGGGAACCCCGCCGAAAAACGTGTATTTGATCCCCTCGAAACGCGATTGGGCTCGTTTTGAGTGGCGTTTGAGCGGGTCTTGTGA